TCGAGCTGAAGGGAACCCTGAATTTGGTGTGGATCCGCCGCGCCATTACGGAGATATGGCCGTTCAAAGTTTCAATGGTTTTCCATAGACTTAAGCTTTAAAGCGTTTCATTCAAGTCGCCAGTAGCAAACAATGGAGCGCGCTCTGCTGGACAAATTAAGTAATTACACCATTTCAAGCATTTTATCTGCTTTATATGCTCTGTAAACAAATTTTCATATCGGCAGCGTAGCGGTGGCATATTCGCCAATACCGATATATCGGCGATAGGCTCATATCGGCCGATAATATTGGCTAAAAGATATATCGGTCGGGCTCTATTACTTACATTACCTGTCTCACTTTCACTGCTTTGCTTTCTCAGGTATTTTCATTTTTGTACTTTTGCTACTTATATTATTTTTTGTAACTTTACTTACTTTACATACTTGCATTTCTTTCAGCACTTTTATTATTCACATTACTTTCCTTTCTTTACTTGTTTGCGTCACTTGTTACTTTTATTACTTTAATTTCCATATATTACTTTTGTTACTTTCCTTACTTTACATACTTGCGTTACTTTTTGCTTTACGTTCCTTATACTACTTTACTTTACATTCTTGAATTACTTGTTACTTGTCTTATTTTTAACACTGTTGTTACATACTTTACTTTACTTACATGTGTCAGTTTTAGCATTTTTATTACTTACTTTATAATACTTTCATTACATTACTTATTTTACACAGTTGCATTACTATTGTTACTTGCATTATTTTTAACGCTGTCGTTACTTGCTTTACTTTCCTTTATATTACTTTCACTTCCTTGTGTTACTTGTGGCACTTTTGTTCTTACATTACTTGCTTACATTACTACTGCTACTTTTGTTGCTTACCTTACCTGTGTCACTTTATGTACTTGAAAACCTACAAACTTTGTGTTTTGTTTAAGGACTTTTGAGGAAGTCTGTGTAGCCCTTATTAGACGAAATAAAACAAATTTGTTTTTCAAATAATTTATTACTTTCCTTGCTTATGTTACTTTGAGTACATTTGTTACTTTCCTCATTTGCATTACTTTGGGTATTTGAGAACTTTTAAACTATGCATTTTGTAAATCCTTATATAGCTGAATCTCGCTTTAGATAAAATATTCTAAACTGGGATACAGTAAATGTTTTTGACAAATGTGTTTAACAAAATAAACACAAAAACAACCGAACAAACAAAACAAATACATTCTTGTCTCTTTCAACCCCACTTGTATACATTCATCATTATCATATAAACTGCTATAGGATGCAGCCTTCAGTTTTGTTTTTAAATGCACAATAGTACATTAAATCAAATCCATGAACATTAGCAGCTTTGGACCTGTATGGCAGGTTTTCTTCTTTATAACCACACCAGTTTGATGCCTGTAAAAATGGCAGCTTTGTTTCTCACAGAACGCTCTCAGACTATCTACAGTTGTGTCTGTACAAGGCGACACAGGAAAAACATTTGTGAGATTTTTTTTCCTCATACCTCCCCCTTCTTTCCAATTCATTCCTTTAAACAGGCTAATGCAATTAACTTTTCAGTGAAGAAAAAACACTCAAAGATCCTGTCCCCTCTCTCTCTCTCTCTCTCTCAGTAGTGAATAGCAGTGCTCTGGTCTTGGTTCAGTGAAGTGTTAGAGTTCACTGATCTTACAGGCAGTGTTTGTTTTAGCACGCGTGTTTCCATAGATCTCTCGTTCCTGGCGCAGTGTCTCTCTCACACTCACTCATCCTGACTGGGCTTTGTACTGATGTTCTGTCACAGTACACAAAGCTTAATAGTGCTTCTTGTCTGCAGAAAGAAATTCAAATTATGTTTGTTTAACAAAAGTGTATTGCTGCGTTACATTGTTATGTTGTTCTTAAAAATGTTAAAAAGCTTGTTTTTTGTCAAATAAAGTGCATTGTCTATTTTTGTGTTTTCTCCTGAAAGAAAATGCCTATTATTGAGTACTCAGCTAATTGTATTATGGTCCTGTGATGGTATGATATACACTATAAACTATAATATAAATATAAAATCTGACATTTTAATACATGCCATCTTTACAAGTATAATTTCCTTCTTTATGTAGCCTAGCTGAAAAACAAAAACCAGACTTTTTTTTTTTTTTTTTTTTTTTTTTTTTTTTTTTTTTTTCCTTTGTCTTGTTTTCAAAATGGTTCTCGCACTTTCACACACTTTCTCCCGGGTTCCCCCTCAGTATATGTGTGAGAGAGCAAACCAGGTGTTGTAGTTTTATGGCTGTTGTGTTGCCGTATATAGGCATGTCAAAGATTTCAAACACCCTAACTACGTCACTTGCAGGTTTTGAAGAACAAGTTCTCAGTTTTATTGCTTTATTTGTTCCCACAAACAAGCAGAAGACCTTGAGGCTAAACTAAGCCTGACATGGAGCTGTACAGTAGAAATATCTCGATTTGTACGTAACGCAGAGTTGCTCTTCAACATTTTGGTGCTGTGTGTTTTGTTGGAGAAATTTGTGTCGCAGACCTAGAAAAACAGAAAAATCTTATTTAGGATATTATATGCATCACCAGACATCAAAACAACTTAGAGCAACTTATCTGCGACAACAGCAAAATAACTAAATACTAAAATTACTAAAAATACTGAATGCAATTCTAATTTATTTTTACTAAAAATATACGAATGACACACTTCATTTGCTAAGATTCTCAAGTGCACAGCTAGTTGACACTTTACAATCCCATAATGCCACGGGAGCTGGGAAGTTGTCAGATAAAAATGAATCAATAAATAAATTTTAAGCCAAAAAAACTTTTTGGTTACATTCTTCAAAATATCTTCTTTTGTGTTTTACAGATTAAAAGGAAAGTCATACAGGTGTCGAACAAGATGAACAAGTAAATGATGACAGAATGTTCATTTTGGGGTGAACTATCCCTTTTACAACGCCTGAGTGAATTATTTTCCAGATTGTTAGTACGTTACAGGTCAGAGCATACAGGTCAAAGGACAGTGTCAGCTGGGTGGATGTAGCGAGTCCAGGAATGCATTTATACTACACACCTGCATACCTAAACAACATATTTAATTCATTAAGTTCATTGAAGTTAATCTCTGTACAACAATAAATGCTGTATTATTCATGCAAAGACAGAAGCTGGCGATACCACTTTGTAAGGAAACACTTATAGATGCAATCCCCTCACCTTATGTTCAAAATTCACCTTTTTTGAGATCAAAATATCAAAATAGGTCACATATGAGATTCGTGTAGATCTGATGAGAAACATTTTGGGTAATTTTTTCTGTATACTGGACCAGACAGATTAAGGTCACTGTTCTTGATGCTCGAAATATTCAAAGAAATTTCAAAATATTGAATTGACGCTTCGCAAAAACCCGCCCTCCTTAGTTACTGTTGCTATGTCCGACAAACAATGCCGCTCTCTCACTACACATCATGTTCTGACGCAGTCACAACAACATCGCGGAGCAAAGAGGACACTGACAACACACCGACAGACAGACAAGACAAGACAAGATTTTGTCTTTTTTTATTTAATTCAAACAATAAATGGCGTTTTGTGGCTCTTTAATGTGTCGTGACAGATCGCTGGATTGCCTCAGTTCAAGCGGCACGTGAACCGATCGTCTTTTTATATTTACTTAAAGCACAAAATAAACATGAATGAACATCAGAACGTATTTTGTTTCAATCACTGAAAGATGTCAATACACACTATTTTTCAAGTTTAAGTCCACCAAAGGTATTCTACTCTCCGGTCTGATTTGTTTTTCGGACAAGATGGCAGATTCTGCGTTATGATTGGTCAGAGCACCTGTCAATCAAGTTTTTTTGTGAAGGGTCAATTGAGGGTGGAGGTTCATATGAATGTATCTGAAGGGAACTGATCATTTTCAGAAAATTTCCGATGGCATTTTCTTTTAATTTTACCTCCATTTATTGCGTATTAAAGTAGTGTTTATCCACCTTTTATTCAGGGTAAGAACAGGTGCAGCCATTTGTACATTTAGTGGGATTGGCTTCCGGTGTCATTTCCAGCTATTTTTAGCTGTACAAAACAGCTTGTTTTGCTGCTTGATAATGCAAACTGGTGTGTCGAACCTTATTATTTTAATGTATGATCTTTATTATGAACACACTGGTTTGTAGAGCAAACTATTTGACCTTTTACTGCACTTTAGTCTTCTTGTTATTTCCCTACAGCGGCTAATGAACCAAAAATCTTGCACATTCACAGAAAATGGCTTATTTCTGTGTTGAAAAATAAGATGGATAGTTTACACCGGTAGCCATGGAAACACAATATTGCGGCTGTTCCATAAGCGCCACCTGCCGTCAAAGAGTGAATGCAGTTTTAGCATAATTTCACAAAGCTAAAGTGAGACCATTGTGTTTCCCTTAAATCTTGAAATTATGCAATTTAATTTAAATGAAAAGAAATGCTCATGTATGAAGCATCGTTTTTTTAGAATGTGATTTAAAAACAGTGGTTGCCTCTAATGGTTATCTGTTAAAAAAAAAAAAAAGCAATCTGTATCAGTATCGGCCAATATGCTTGTAAAAAAATTGGCAATCGTAATTTGCCATGAAAAATAATGTACATTTTTGTAGTTGTAGCCTATACTTATAGCCTATGACCTATAGTCATTACTTTCACTGACTATTAAGAGTAAGTCGAGCAAGTGAGTACACTGCTCCACTCAAACTGAGAGAGTATACACACACAAACACACATGTGTGTGTGTGTATTTTGAATGACAATGTATATATACTGGTGGTGTCCAACTGGACCAATTCTGATCGTAGTGGTGGGTCGCTTGGACCAAAAATTATTTTTTTAGTTGAAAACAGTGTTGTGTAAACGCAATCAGATCTCGTTCATTACCAATTTATTCAGAAGTTCTCTTTAATATAACTGGCTGTAAATGGGATGTAAATGATGAGCTAGTATTGACAGTGTGTGTAATTGTGTCCTGCAGATAGACGCGGATGAGGATCCAGACCGGGGGCAGCCGTGTATGCGCTGTGGAGAACAGTGTCCTGGCTTCCGCATGCATGGATGGAGGTAAGACTGCGGCGCTAAAACTTGAGGAAAGACCCAGAACGAAGGCTATCAAAACTTCCTTGTCCTCCCTTTTTACTGTCTTTTTGTCACTTGAAATGAAAAAGATGCAAGATAGATTCAAAGCAACACATTCGATATATGTACTACAGGATCCGACACTTTACTTACTTTTGAAGGACATTCGTCCCAGGCCTGGGAATGTGCAGATGGAAACTTAACATCCTCAGACATAACATCTTGGATAATTGTTTTAGTTATGCGTTTGTTTTGAAATTAAGTTGCGGAAAAGGAAAGGAGGGAATATGGTGCTGATAAACGACCAGATACACGTGTGTGTGTGTGTGTGTGTGTGTGTGGAGTGAGACCTGGGATTCTTGTGTGTAACGTGAGACGTCTAATCATATTTCCAGAGCTGGTAATGAGAGCTGCGCAGTGTTTACACTGAGCACACTTCACTGTTACACCATTAGACAAGCATCAGCTGAAGAATGAGGAGCTTTAGTGTAGCTGTAGTGCATGTTTGTGTTCTCTGCTCTCTAATGCTGATCTCACTATAATATTGCAGGGTTCTTGATTGTTCTGGGAACGAGTTTATGACTCCAACATTATCCACATGTAAACAATCCAGATCACTTGGCATCAGCTGGTAAATGCGCCTGCTTGGCTGTTTAACAGATGCTGTTTCACTTTCTCTTGTGTCAGTTCCAGAATTTCACAGACAGACTTGTGAATGAATAATACACAACATACTTTTATCAAAAAACAATTCTGAAATACAAATTCTGAATTTTAACACATTCGAGTCTGTTTTGCAACCATTAGGCCTATTTTTTATTTAGCTATATGTATTCACTCGTAAAAATGCTGGGTTAAATACAATCCAGTGCTGGGTGAAATATGGACAAACCCAGGAATTGGGTTGTTTTGACCCAGTGGTTGGGTTAAATGTTTAACCCAACCTTCTGGGTAGTAGCTCAACCGTATTTAACCCAGCATTTTTTAGAGTGCATATAATATACATAAGCACTTGACTTCATTGTTAATTTTTGGCCTTGTGTATTCGCCATTGAAAAATCCATCAATCAGCAGACACATTACTTCTGAAATCATGACCACTTACGCACAGTAGATTTGGAAATATTCATATTTATTTCAGAGGCTGTTCAGAGCTGTAGATTGTTTCCATAAGATTAATTTTAGATGTCAGGAATAAGAATCCAAAGGGCAGTTTGTGACGTTAATACATGCCAGCTGCTGATCCTTCTTTTTGTGGGCATTTTTTTTTTAAACATCACAAATGGACCATGTGACTGCTGTGGTTTAGCTGTCTTAGAAGTCTCTCTTTTTCAGAATCACTTGCCGATTTCTTCATCAGCTACTGCAATCTGTTTAATCTGTTTAGCTTTTATGCACCACTGTAAAAAAAAAAAAAAGATGGCATAAGTTCTGAGAGGTTTTACTTTTGTGCGACACTACATCCACACTAATAGGTGTCAGTATGCAGTATAAGACCACCGTTGTATAAGGGCACATAAAGGTTAAACTATATATTTGACTGAAAGCACATATGTATGTCCTCACAGTTTAGGGTCATATTTTGACCACTTGTTTAAACGCACACTATAAAAAAATGCTGGGTTAAAATTTTAAAAACAACCCAGAGCTGGGTAAAAATTGGTCTGAACAAATGTATAACTCAGCAGCTGGGTTGTTTAATCGGAGACAAGCTCAACAAAGCGGTAGGCTAGAAAAAAATAACTCTGTGTTAAAAATGACCCAGCAACTTGGTTACAGAAAAACTACCGAGCACCTGGGTAAAGAATATTAAAAATAACCTAATAAAATGACCCAACAAGCTGAATCCAGCATTTCGGTTAAAAAATAACCCATTATGTTTTAGAGTGCACACACATGCCTCTGAAACGCTTACCTTCAACTGGCAGCCGGTGTGTGAAGAAGCCAGACAATGACCTGGAACAAATGCTAAAGGACATGAGGCATTCCAGTGAGTTCAAAGGTGTGTGTGTGTGTGTGTGTGCTTTATACATAGCTATATGTTGGAGGGAAAATTGTTGCAAGAATTTTGAAAAATATGATCAAATTTAATCATGTTAAAACTGGTTAATGAATAAAGTAAATAATATAAAAAACTATTAAAAAATAATTTTCAGCAATTGAAATAAACCTGAAATAAAATAGATTTAAAATATAGACTTGAGAAATGTACATGAGATATGTTACCTAACATATGATATGATATGATAACTAACTAAAATAAGTTTAAGTACTTAAATTACTAAAACTGAAATAAAAACTAATTAAAGCTAAAAAAGAAATATAAAAAAATGAATAAAAAATGACAAAGGTACATAGCAAAATCACTTAAACTAAAATTATAATGAAAACTAACAGAATATAAAAATAGAGAATTAAAAAAAAATGAATAAATGCGAACAGTGTATATAAATAATACATATATAATAATAGTCTATGGTATGTCCTCATTTATGCCCTGATTTACTAAAGGTTTGCATGTATAAAAACCCATGCAAACTTGATAGCATGTGTATCTTAATGATGTTATATTTGGGGATTGTATCATTCTGAAGCACAAAAAAAATTAAATTGCAAGTTAGCTTAATGAATATATAATTTCAGATGTAATTTGGTTGTGCATCAATGCTGAACTACAGTGAAGTCAGTAATTTGGGGGTGGAAATTCAGATTTCTTTTTGAGATGAAACCGTGCTGGAATGTCATTAATATGTTACTAATAGCCTAATTTCTTTTAACTGAACTCATACAACATTGCCCTACATTTTCAAGTGTTAGGATGCCATAGTAAATAAATATTGGACTACTATATTAACACACACACACACACACATTCCTCTTTTTAGGGGATGTAACAGGACCTCATACTGCTATAAATGAACAAGTGCATGAGATCTGTTCTCACCTTAAATTAGTGGGACGGCACTAGCTTTTGGCACCATTGGTCTGTTTTATTCCCATGTGTGTGTCTAATAGGGGTGGAACGATACATGTATTCGTACCGAACCGTCACGGTACGGACATCTCGGTTCGGTGCATGAGGCCTTACAACGAATACAGGCAATTTACCCCAAATCCAGAAGGGGACGCCCACAGCAGAAGGACAGCGAATGCCATGAGTTACGCACTTAAAAACAAAGCCCACTAGACAGTGACCATGTGCTGATTCTGAACATGTCTCTCACTGACAAAGGAGTATACTTTAAAGGCTTGTGCACTCAACTGTTTGCGAAATGGAAACATTGCCCTACATTTTCAAGTATTAGGATGCCATAGTAAATAAATATTGGACTACTATATTAACACACACACACACACACACACATTCCTCTTTTTAGGGGATGTAACAGGACCTCATACTGCTATAAATGAACAAGTGCATGAGATCTGTTCTCACCTTAAATTAGTGGGACGGCACTAGCTTTTGGCACCATTGGTCTGTTTTATTCCCATGTGTGTGTCTAATAGGGGTGGAACGATACATGTATTCGTACCGAACCGTCACGGTACGGACATCTCGGTTCGGTGCATGAGGCCTTACAACGAATACAGGCAATTTACCCCAAATCCAGAAGGGGACGCCCACAGCAGAAGGACAGCGAATGCCATGAGTTACGCACTTAAAAACAAAGCCCACTAGACAGTGACCATGTGCTGATTCTGAACATGTCTCTCACTGACAAAGGAGTATACTTTAAAGGCTTGTGCACTCAACTGTTTGCGAAATGGAGCTTTGTGCTCATGTATCCTACCTCTCTCATTCGGCACTAATCCAAATATTCCATAATATTTCCATATTTGCGATGTAACGTATCTGAATGCTAAACTTTGTACTTCAGTCGCGTTCCAACGGTGACACAGAGCCGGGCGCGCGGTGATGTTTGGTTCACTGTATTTTGTTTTGATAAAGTACCAACTGCGATGTCAAGTTAGCAATTCTGGAACTGATGTGTTTTGTGTGTGTGTGTGTGCACGCCGGCGCGATCACTTCAACTGTTTCCTTATACCAGCAAAAACAACTTTAAACACTTATTGTCTTATTAATAATGCATCACCGTATAAAGGTCTACTTTTATTTGTGTACACTCACAATGAAAACAAAACATTGTGCTTTTGTGAAATAAAGAAAACAAATAGGATGTCACTTTCTGCCATTTAGGTTTCCTTTCTGTGAACAAATTAAGCCTGACACAAAAATTAACTGAAACGCAGCGTATATAGGCTACGTTACGTGTCGCACTGTTTTTTTTCTATTGTTTACTAAAATATATTTCAATAATTTATGCTTGTATGTATATATGTACTGCAGATTTGATATATATATATATATAACATAATGTAATAATATTTAGTATTTTCACATCTAGGTGGAAAAAATAGTAATTTGTACTACTGTCTGTTCAAAATAAATGAAAAGAAACAGCATAGTAGATTTGTTTTTTTCCCTGTTGTACCGAAATCGTATCGAACCGTGACCCCCCGAATCGAGGTATGTACCGAACCGTGACATCTGTGTACCGTTACACCTCTAGTGTCTAAATGAACAGAGCAGAAAGTAGCCATAAATCTTGTTACTGCGCTCTTCAATCTCACGCCTGCGGTTCTGACCAGAGTCATACATCAGCATCAGGCGAAATGCGAAAATCTGTTGCCCATTCTTCACACTTCACATACTACAAACTAATCCAGAGAACAGAAACAAGCACATCTACATCTGCAACAACATGGCTTTAATCTGTCTATGTGCTGCTTTAATCTATGTGCAGTCTTCAGATTCTGCTCAACAAGCTCTTAAGCATTTGGTGTAGTATTTGTTGCAGTGATGTTACTGTTACTGTTTCTTTTTTCATATTCTTCCCATTGTGCCTTGTTTCTTTTCTTCACAGACTTTTTCCCCCATGTCCACCCGTCTGGCCCCCTATTTTGTGTCCTAATCCCTCCTGTCA